TCTGGAGAACTCGTCCGTGGGATATTACTGAGCTGAATCATACCCAATCTCCTGCTCTCGAGATACACAATCAGATGGGCGCTTTTAGGAGGTTCTATGATATTCATATCTTCGTGATTCGATTGGGGACTCACGTTATCACACATTTTGAAAACTAGCACTCTGGCCATCTTAGTATAAAAGTTTCCGCAGTATTATTTAGCGTCGGTCTTTAATACCGAGAAGCAACGGATTACAAGAAACATTTCAACAATGGCGCTGCTACCTATGATGAAAACACGGATGAAATGTCACATTACCGAATTAAAAGTTCAATTTTCTTCGATGGAAGCATGGAAAATCCCGAAAGAACCTAGCAGCCTGGCTCCTGCTGGAATACCGAGCAGCAAAGGTAGGGAGCTATCGTTATTGCTGATTAATAATATATGCATAACTAATAAATTAGCCAAGATTCTGATCCAATTGGCCCTGAGCTACAGACCTGGAAGGGACTTGATTTTGTGAACTATTGGTTTTCTGACCTTGTCAATATCACCAGCTGGACTATTGGGACAGCACCTCTCCTCGTGGGACTGAGTACCGTGGATGCCATTCTGATCGTTTTCCTCTCGGGAGTTTGCAACGGCCTGCCCACTGTTTTGAACGGATATGTTGGAATTGATTATCATATTCCCTTCCCTATAGCCATTCGCTCGAGCTTTGGGTATTACTTTGGGAATTTCGCCGTTTTCTCTCGTGCTATTCTGTCCGCCGTTTGGTTCGGTGTGAACTGTTATTATGGACTCTTTGGTATGACCGAGGCTTGTTGTTTCCATCCGTATTACCTTCTAAATCACTAACATCAATACCCAGGCAATTGCTGCAATATGGCCTGGCTATCGAAACATGGCCAACCACCTGCCCAAGTCAGCTGGAATATCAACAGAACAAATGGTATCATTCTTTCTATTCACCAGCTTACACATTCCATTTATGATGATTCCAGTCCAACGACTTAAGTATGCCTCATCATCATTCTTCTATTGTTTCACAAGATTAACCGCTTAAAAGACGGCTATTTCTATTAAAAACCATACTCATTATTCCGGTAAAATCCTCTTCGAACTGATGTTCGCCTGAAAACTCACTGTTACTAGGTCTCTATTGCAATGGCGGTCTGGATCTGTGTTAAAGCTGGTGACCTTCAAGGAATATTCAACCAGCCAGCAAAAGTGTCAGGACAAGCGCACATTTGGCTTTGGCTTGCTACTTTCTCATCTACTACCAACTCTTGGCTTACCAATACGATAAACATGTCGGATTATTCACGGTTTGCTCGGAAAGAGTATGTTCATATTCTGGCCTTTGATTAGCTCAGAAAAGCGTTCTAACATAACCCTAGGAGCCGTGGGCATTGGTACCAGGCATTAGCCATCCCTGTTATCAAAACCATTTACGCTGTTCTCGGTCTGGCAGTGGTTGGTGCTGGGCGGGTACTATACGGAGAAGACATATCCAGTCCTGTCCAAATGCTTCCATACTGGGGTAGTACGGGGGGCAGTCGCTTCCTTGCCTTCATTTGTGCTATCCTGTGGATGCTTGCTCAAATATCTTGTGATATCTCTGCAAACTCCATTCCCTTCGGTCATGATGTCATGTCCTTTGTACCATCATTGATAACTATTAGACGTGGCTCACTACTCTGTTTACTTCTCGGTGCATGGGGCATGGTGCCATGGTTGATTGTCAACAGTGCTTCCAAGTTTCTAAGTTTCATGTCTGCTTATGGAGTTTTCATAAGCCCCATCTGCAGCATCATGATCGCAGATTATTTCCTTATCCGCCGGAGGAAGTTAAATCTGCCTGACCTATACCACCCTCGTGGCTGTTACCGGTATAGGGCTGGTATAAATTGGCGTGCGTTCGTGACCGAGCTTAGCTTCGTCGGAATCAATTTGCCAGGGGTCATCAACAACGTCGCCCCACGGATTTTGATTCCTATCGGACTAGCTCATTTGTATCAGGTCAATTGGTTTATCAATACATTTGGCTCTTTTTTTGTTTACTTGTGTCTTTGTACCTTGTGGCCACCTCTCGATTCTCTTGATACCACGGTTTTGCGTCATTAGGCCCACCCGCTCTTTATTTATCACGCTATCAAATTCCAAGGACACGTGAATGTTGTGTTCAACTTGGTTGCGGAAGCAGTGCACTTGATTTAGAGGTCTGCGGAAAGATCTCGCACGATTCGAATAGAAGTCCCCGAAACAAACTTAACAAGAATAATAGCGCGTGATATGACTCAATATTTGAATGGAAGTTTGATTGAATCTGTTGTTTTATAGCACAGCCAACCATAAACAAGACACTTACTAATTTATAGGCAAAATGTGAGAAGTTGCCCCAACATATCTAGGTTTATCATAGCGTAGGCTTGGGGAGAGGGTAAGAAAGTATAAGGTGGTAACATCAGCTTTGGAACCGAGACCACTATAAAGAGTTCCTTGTTCTGTCTTTATCCTGCAACTACATTGAAATCTTCCTTTCTGAACAGCCGTGAGATTAGGTTCATATAGTTTATCATCTGTCACATTACCATTAATGCCTTCCACCCGGCCTGAAAATGTTTCCAATGTTATTAAAGAGCCTCTATCTCATAGGTCTCTTTTCATGGATTCTACCGTGCTAAGGCTGTGGTGGGGAGAGATACGGTATTGTGACCCTTGAGCCGATACTGTTAGCAATAAATTTCATATAATACCGTCGCCCGTGGCGGCCTTTCCTAGAATCGTCTTTGGACGATCAGTGCCTCGTATGCAGCGACAGAAGTATGGACTTCCTTACTATTTACGACATTTCTATGATTGGTCTCACACACTCAGGACTTATTTCGGCCAACCCATCACAGATTTACAGACGGAAAGGGCATCATCAGGGCAGAGTTAGTTAAATCAGCAAAAGCTTCTTTCTTTGCTATCTATAAGATAAATTCGATCGCCTCAAAGGCTTTATACCGCGCTTTGGTTCTACTTCTCTTGTAAATAATACCATTATTCATGACCATTTATGACAACGCTGGCATACATCGGAGCTTGACACGCTCCAACGACAGGATGAATTTTCTGAAAAACGCCTATAGGGAATTTCTTCATCATAACTCGAACCTTAAGCTACAAGGAGGGCCGTAACTATTTCTTAGCCATTTTGTACCAGACAAGCATAGCACTACGAATGAGTAGAACAATACGAAAGATGAAGGCTTAGGTCTGCGAGCACAGAGCGGACAGTTTGAGATGATTTGAAATTGAAGCGGATTCATTTTGTTACTTATTTAAGCGTGGTGTACTTAATTTACCTGAATAAATATTTGCTGCTTCAGATGTAAAGCCAATAAAATTAAATAAGGGTATGGACCCAGAAACATTATTTTCAGCAGGGCCTCTTCGGAGTTTCGACCCATTCTGTATACAGGACTATACTGATAGCAAACAAAAAATCTAGCTCCAAAGACCCACGCGCCAGTGGAAGGTTATGTTCTGCGATCAGAAAGGCTAATCCGACGAAAGTGCTCGAGAAATTCCGGCAGTAAATATGAGGGTGACTAGCACCCTCTCTGTCAGATCATAGAACCAACGTACATCAGAAACCTTGCTCTAATGAGGCCCACAATAATTTAAGCTGGGGACATTGCATGTGAAAAACGGGACACTTAGTTGTAGTCTCTGTGAATATCAGGAAGGAAATACTCTAACGTAATCCACGGCCGCATGAAACACACTGCTGCGACATGAGGCTGTTGTTACTCATCAATGAAGGTTACTCATCAATGAAGCTGCAACATTGGAAAGAATTCCTGTCCGTCTGTACCAAGCCTAAGTTGCTTTCCAGTCAACTTGGATGGGTTCATGCTGTATATATATATATGTCCTCTTTGTAGCCCTCTAGGAAGATCATAACCAAGCTCCCTTTTGCGTTACAACAAAAACCGACTGAAACACCTACCCCAACCACAGAATTTCAGACCAAGGCCTCTCAACCAGAACGCATTAATTGATTTAAAATAGCAAATTTTACAAGAAATAATCCTCTGCTCATTCTCCCTAAGCCCGCTAGACCTCACTGGAGCTCTAGTAGCCTGCTGATCTGGCTGAATAGGCCATTCGCCCCGCGCATGGGATATAACCTCATCCGCTAAACTGGCTTATCTTTCTGCTGAGCTAGCTATAGACCCTTTTCAACAGTAAGGCCACCTTCATATGGTATATGCCTGGCAGTCCGATTGCGTTTCTCTCGTTTCTCCACATTCGCTGCGGGTAGATTCGCGTTTGCATGCGCTCGGAGCGTAGTTTTGTTTAGCGATACATAGTGGCCTTTGATAATCTAATCCATCAAACCTCTTTGACCGCTATTCTAGAGGAAACGCGACATGACGGTAGCGAAGCAAGATCCCATGCAGCAATAGAATTTGAACGCCGAGGACAAGTTTCTTAGAAGATCAGGGGAGAAGCGCAAGGCTAAGCAGGTTTCTAAGCGTGGAAACAAGCGGTTATTGCTCAGCTCAGTTTAAAATTTATAGACTCTTTCGGGCCCTTAGAACGTCTTTATACGGAAGCAATCTACCGTTTTCTGTGGCCGGCTATTAGGTCCTATATACCTCTCTTTACTCGCGTATGATTACTACTATATAGTTATTCACGGCTTGGGTTAGTTTCCCTACAAAGAGTAGCAACTAAAATGGTCAGATTGGAGTGTGCAATGTGACTACTGCATGTGAATACACCCTTCTTCATGATTATCAATACGGTACCATGGTTGGAAAAAGGGAAAAGCAAATAAATACTGTATTTAATCTATAATTGACCTCTAAGTTGAACATGTTTCCCAATGGAGCAAAGGGTGGCAGTAAAGACCTGAACCAGCGACGGAGAAATGTGCGAAATATAAAGTGTAAAGAAGCAAGGAAACGGCGAATCCAAACGAACAGTCCTCATTGCGCAGGTCTTGATCACGAATTTTAATCCTCACTCGGCCTTTTTGGAAGGCTTTGTTTTCAGTGCCATGAAGAAATATACCAAAGCGTATGAGCTGATGACGAAGAGAACGGTGATACCCACGTCTCTCCATCCAAAATACCACTCATTGATGTTGATGGTATGAAGATAGTCACTTCCCTTAGAGTAAGGGCAAACACGACAGCCGAGCGAGTCTTCTGGGTTCAAGAGGTTTGCACCCGAAGTGTTAAGGTAGGGGACTAGATATTGGCCACAAGTCATGTTACTGGGCGGGTCAAATAGCGACAGCTCTTCGGTCGCGCATTCAACTTCGGCGTCAAATATGGTGAATGTAAGCATACTACCAACCAGGTACGTCGTCGGGTTCAGCCAATACATCCAGTATCTCCAAAAAGCAACGATTTGCTCGTAAGGGACCAGGATTCCACAAAAGGATACAATGATTCCAACAAGAAGCGGATTGGTCAGTGCAGCAAATACAGCATTCGGTGCATAGGCTGCAATGAATTGTCCAATCGATGTGTAGAGAAATTCGTATATAAGAACCACAAAAAATGCAGCACCTGCTTTATCGGACTCCGTGGGGCTGCCGACTGTGTAGTACCAGCATGCGAAATACAAGACGGCACAGAGGCAAAGGTATGGCATTTCAGAGATGACCAAAGCTGTGACGAAGGCTTTCCAAGAGTATATTCTTGCTTTCTTCTCTCGGGCATCATAAAGATCCCGGCACTCAATGAAGAGGGGCTGAAGTTGATTGATGACACCGGGCGCAACAAACATCCAAACGAATACGGTGAAAAGCTTGAGCTGTAAATCGGCTGCCGATTGTCCGATTTTCCAGTAGCTGAACCCATTGAATAGTCCCAGACCAATGTGGAGAGCAATCTTGTTGTTGATATAGGACGTATTCCGGAACAGCGCTAGATTCATGCGGCGCAAGACGTATTTGGTCTGGACAGCCAGTGGTACGGCAAATTCAAAACCATCCTCCTCCATGGGACCTTTGGCAACCGACTGTTGCAGGATAGCCTCGAGCTCGTTGGTCGTGTCCTTGTGCTCAGGGGAATTAAGCCATGTCTGATGCCAATCGGTATCTGAGAAGCGGCCTGAAACCACATCAATCATGTGCTCCGCCGGATTGGACGAAATAGGGCAAGGTGCTCCATATCTCCCAAAATAATCCTTGATCGTCTGGCAATTCTTTCCGATGTCACCAAGATATACCATCTTCCCGCCAGATTTCAAGAGTAGAAGCCTGTCAAATTGTGCCATGAGCTGGGCGGACGGCTGGTGGATCGTTACCAAGACAGATTGGCCCGCGTCAGCAAGCTTTCTCAAAAAGCGGACGGTGTTGAATGCTGACTGGCCATCCAGACCTGAGGTAGGTTCGTCCAAGAAGATAAGAATTCTAGGCTTCGAGACCAATTCCACTCCAATAGTCAAGCGCTTCCGTTGTTCAATACTCAAGCCGTGCCCTGCGCCAGGCTTTCCAATCAGGGAGTCGGCGATGTCGTGAAGCTCCAGTAAATCAATGATGACATCGACATATCTGAGCTTTTCAACCTCAGGGATATCTCGGGATTGACGAAGAAGAGCAGAGAACTGCAATGCCTCCCTCACTGTGGCATAGGGCTCGTGGACATCGAGCTGTTCCGTGTAGGCGGCCGAGCGTTGAAAGGATATGGGGAGGGGATGGCCATCGACCAGAATTGATCCTTTGATTGTTCCTTCGGTTTTTCTCTGCGCGAGAACATCCAAAAGGGTTGTTTTTCCTGCTCCTGACGAGCCCATGAGTGCAGTGAGGGTTCCGGGCTTAACCCAGCCATAAACATTATCGAGGAGCACTCGAGGGCCTGAGGATGTCTTAACAGTATATGTCAGAGCTTTCCACGTGAAAATTGAAGTATTTTGTAGTATTTCCTGTTCAGCGGGGGCAGGCTGTTGGAGTGACTCGTTCGGATTGGACGAATGCTTAACCTTCCTTCTCTCCGTACACTGGGACTCTTCGTCAACGGGAGAAAGCCGCTGGTGAGAAGCTAATCTTTCGCGAGGAATGAGCAGCGAAGCTCCCGACTCAGAAGCATCATGCCAGCGAATGACTCCAATTAGTGTGATTCCGACGTACACAACCCACCACGCACACAGTATTCCGAAATTTCTCCAAATGTGAGTGTGGCTATACATCAAAGACGCAAGATATTCATCGCCTGTCAAAGAGAGAGCTCCTGGCTGTGCACCCCCGATGCCAGCACACGAGGCATGCTCGTCCTGGCTATAACCAGGGCCATTGGGAATCAGATTGGTGTTCACACATTTGATCGCATGAAGATGAAACTCGTTTCCCATCAATGCCTCAAATCCGTATGACAATGGATTGAGCCAATATAGCCAGCCAAACCACGGATGCATCTGCGTTGTATGGATTTGATATCCAGCATACATAGCCATGATAGCGATCGCATATCCGGAGAGCTGGGCAGCGGTGTTGAATGAACCGAAAACAGCGCCAATTGCACGGAACAGCCCACAGGCACACATGTTGGTAACGAACAAAATAGTCCAGTATGTGAAGAAATTCGATGCATCAAGGACCAGGCCAGCCATGAAATAGATGATGAGGGACCATGTAGTAACTTGAAGAATAATGATAGGGATATCTGCGGCAATTTGGGCGATGCAGATGGCTGCTGGATGAACGTAGGCCAAAGATTTGTGCTTCAGGATGACAGGTCGGCCTGTGAAAGAGTCCACAACCTCAGACATTGCGGTCATGCTGTTGTATAGCACAGACCAGAACAGCACGCCCCCTTTGATAAACACCCCGGAGGAGTCGTCGGCTGCTTGGTAGTATAGAGAACCAGCTATCAAAGCTTGGGCGATGTTCGAGCCTTGTTTCATTCCAAAAGTAACCATATCCCCAGCGATGATCTGGTATTGACGAATAATACATGCCTTCACTTGAGAGACAAAGTCGACGGTGTATTGGCTGCGTTTGGATGCTCTTTCGAGAGCGACGCTTTCCTTGAAGTCTGACGTTCGCCGACTAGCAAGCTCTGAGTTGGGGTATGAATAATGGGCAACGGCGTTTTTGAAAATATCTGTGTTTTCGTATGAAGAGCGGATAGATTCTGCGTCGCGCGGGAAGCTGGCTTCGAAGCCTGAGCGAATCTGGCGCTCAGTCGGCACTGTAACTCCGGTTAGGAAGTCAGCGACGTTGGCGCCATCCTCGCACACAAATCCAAGGTCTTCCATGAAACCACGAGCCTGACTCATTGGGCCGTAGTATATCTGCTTTCCTTCGTCCAGAACGAGGACTTTGTCAAAAAGGTCGTAGATCTGGTTTCCAGCTTGATAAAGCGTCACGATGGAAGACAGGGAGTAGACATCTGTCATTGCTCGAATGGCTTTTGCCCAGTCCAGCGCACTACTGGCGTCAAGGCCTCTGGTACTGTTATCCCAGCAGTAAATCGATCCTCGGGCAGCAAGGCACTCTAGGATAGAAACACGCTTCCTCTCACCTCCCGATACACCACGAACATACTCGTTTCCAACTTTGGTAGTTGCGGTGTGGGATATTCCAAGCGAGCGAAGTAGGAAATCGCTCAGCTCATTTTGGTACTCGTGTCTTGATTTGCAACCTTCGGGGAGATGGGCTGGGATCTTTCCGCTAGTCGCAAATATGGTCGTCTCGCCGACAGTGAGGGTAGGGAAAAACGTTTCATCTTCGGTGTTCATGACGATTTGGCCACGATATTTCTCTGCTTCTTCGTGCGACATATCTCCAAATCGAACGTCCCCATCAATTTTCTGGTAGCCTGCTCGCCTGTTGGAGAGCATCTTGAGCAACGTGGTACAACCTGACCCAGGTCTGCCCAAAACAAGCAGCATCTCACCAGGCTTAACGCAGCCATGGCTTTGGTCCAAGATTGTTTGTAGAGAATTCCTGCGTCGGAAACGGGAAAGGTGCCGGCGAAGGTCGAACTGCGAAACGAAGTTTTCATTGATTGCAGCTTCGGCACTAGTTCCTTTGACCGTGAGATTTTTCCAGGTGACACCAAGTTGCCGAGGTTTGAATCCGGAAGCAAGATCCCGTTGGTTGAACTCCTCCAGTTTGTCGATAAGATGCCATCGGTCTTCCTTTTCCGTCCATTTCTCATTCAGCGAGGGTGGAAGGGATCCAGCCGGTGTTGGGGTCTCTGATTCTTCCATAGCGAGACACGAAATTGAGAAATCTGTTATTGGAATGGGAAATTGGAAGGCAATTGCAAGATAGTGATGAATTATTAAAAGGGGCCGTGAAAATAGAGTGTCCAAAGCATTTGTATGTTCGTCTATATGGGACTAACAGATTGAAAAATGTCTTTGATTTCCGGTTCGCTCGTAATCTCCAAAGGGAATTTTGGGCCGGCCTAATGTTCGACGTAGAAATATCACAGCGAAAGGCAAAGAAAGAAGGCCGAGAGCCCGGTTAGAGTACAGACCCGGAAAAAACGATCTTCATATATCCAAAGCCCGAAAGTCCGAGATGCGGAATTTCGGGAGGATGTACCTTTTGGGAAGTTACCGGATGCGAATGATTAGTTCGGATTGACCCGATTAATGATATGGGCCAAGCTCCGGAAAATAACGTAATTCACGGCCGAGCCGCGCACCCCAAAACACAAAGTAAATTCGATAAATTACCATTTCATATCTGAACAACCATATTTTATTTTTACTTAAATACTAGGATATATGACTTTCTTAGCGTGTGAAATAACATATCTTAGTCTTAAGCAATTTCAATAATCATTCCCGATGGGTTACCATAAGATACGGCGTAGTTTTGGTATATGGGACAAATACATATATCTGAATCAATGCTTCAACTAATTGTCCTATACTTCTCTAGTAAGTTAGAAATACTATCTAGATCATAAGATTTTAATATCCTATCATCAATAGATATGGTTCTTGATATATAAATTGGTAATTTATCGCATTTACTATGTGTTTTGGGGTGCGCGGCTCGGCCGTGAATTACGTTATAGGATCTTCCTGATAGACAGTGCTGCAGTAAAACAGTACCGTATACCTCCTTCGTCTCCGATAGTTTTTTGTTAACTAAAGATACAAGAAAGCTATCGTACTACTCTAGAGAAAAAGTTTATAACTAACTAGCAATAAGTGACGATCTTACTAATACACGTCTTTGTTAGTCCACGATAATCTAGTCCCCGATACTTTTTTTCTACTCGTGCTCTAGAGGGCTTTGCACGGAACTAAAAATAGACATGTAAGGCATTTTTGAGATAGAATAGCTGTATTGGGTTGGGTGGAGTGACTTCTTACAAGCGGATCACATTTTTTTAGAGTTCATTTCGAGCTCCCGTCATAAGCTTCATTGCCCAGGTTTTAAACACTTTTATGGGTGCTGTGAATATAAATAAAGACTTCTTCAAGTCATTGCTCAGTTACTGCTGTTTATTATCACTGTAGGTGAAGACGTCGCGTCATATTCCAAATGCTTCCCCAGAAGATTCCCTAGCTTTTGCCGTTCACTAATTTGTTTGCCTTAAAAAAACATGCAAACGATTGGGGTGGATCCTGTCATTGTGAGCCAACTGAAGTATCAAGAAGGGTTAAGTAATTAGAAGGGACTATCCCGCTAATAGACTTGGTAATCTGAACGAACAGCCTTGCTCTAGCATCTAAAATTTTGTATCTGAGAACGAAAATGCTAAACTCAATTTACATTCAACTCAATATATAGAGGTATAAAATTCACATTTCGGTTCACTTGCTTCATGGGTGCGTAGTTTCTTGAAAGTCAGAACTGTGGTAATCAAGCCACTCAACGGACGGGTGAGTATTGAAGAGCTCCCGCATAAGACCCTCATCCCAAATTGAAGAACGTTTTGGCCCTTCACAAGATCGATGACAATCTGATTGCTGGGTTCGTTGTTGCACATGCCATCTTGAATTGGCATCACCCTCCGTAAAATTCAACATGGCGACTTCACTTTCGATAGTCCTGTTGATTTTCCCAACAATCGATGAAACACCAGTCGGTGATCCTTGACTTTGAACATGATGATTATGAGGCGGTTGACTAGGCTGAATATCATGCAGATTGGAACAGAGTTTGATCAATTCGGATAGAAGTCTGTAAAGATTCGAGCCAAAGGTGCATTGATCTTTAATTCTTGATATTGTGGAGGTGACATCTTTCAACAGCTCCAAATCCTCTATATCCGAAGTAGCGACGACGTTACAAAAAACCACAAATAATGGAGTCAGAGGATATAGTAATGCGGTCCTGTTGAACGTCAGAACCATCGTACTTTTTGGATAAAGGTACCATACCAGAAGAGGAAGTCTGTTGTTAGATTAGGTAGAACAGAGATATGCTTCTGGCATGCCTGCATTGAGAAAAGTGCTCTCCGTGCGTACCGCAAGCACTCTTGGCGTCTACTATTGTTTTGCACGGCTAATGATTTAAGGCGAAGGACACTCGTTGCGATCGAAAAGAAAGTGAAGTCAATGGCATCCCATTCAATCATAGCAGCGGGCTGTTCAGCAAATTTCTGACGGGACTGAGATTCATGTCAGTAATTTGGAGTTGGGAATTTGACAAGAACTCCCACCTGCCGAATCTCCTCACTGATAGACTTTAGTCTATTTTGAAGGTCTTCAAGCAAAGCAGGCTCCTGAGCCATTGCGAGCTCTTCTTTTTGACCTTTTAACATGAGAGATAACGAGATATCCTGAACTTGAGCGAGTTTCACCAATATCCTGACTTTGTATGATAATGGATTTTCAGAAACCGTGTTGAGAAGATCTACCGGGTCGGACGCAAGGACGGGTAAAGATGTAGGACGGACTAGAAGCATGCTTAGTGTCTTGTCCATATAGTAGCACCAAGACAAGCAGCGACGAATTTCGATTTCTTCGTCAGCATCACAGCCGATCGAAGTCGAGGTATGATAACCCAAAGCTACCACAACACGGGAGGCTAGAGCAGTCAGGTGCCAAGATCTTGTCGTGTCTCCAAGAAGCTGTACTAGTGTGGCCTGATATAAGTTAACGACATATCTGCATAGGGACTGAGGATCACCGACACCAGAAAGAAGCGCTTGTAGCATTGCAAGGCTGGGAGACCTCGAGAAGTCAATCATACTGAGAGATTCAAGGAAAGCTGCAGTATACTGCTTTCTAGATTTGGCTAAACAGTCTGATAATCCCCCCGGCGAGGAAAATCGCAGCCACCGACTGACGAAGATGGTAGCCTTGTAAAGTACACAAAGCTTGTATTGAAGATCTGTTTGCCGACCAACAGTACCACTCATCAAGGCTAAACACATTCGCTGCAGAGTTAGGGGTGAAATGTGATCCGGCCAGTGGAGAGCTAGGGCGTCGCGTTCATTTTGACCTGCAGTATTTAGAATGAGGTGCAATGCCCAATAAGGATAAAAAAACATACCGCCCATCATCATATAGAAAAGTTCGATTCGAAAATCAATAAGTTTTGATGCAGGATCGGGAGTAATCTTTTCATCTGGTATGCTGTCCGCATGCTGTGATGATGATATGAACCTTTTGACGATGTCCAGTGCCGACCGTAAAACGCCCGTCCGGGCCACAGACAAATGGGTGTTAGTGTTAATCTCATCTATAATCAAACTGCTTGTATTATTTGATTGTTTAAGGGCGCTGACCACCGCACCATGGTCCGTGAAAGGTTGGTAAGTATCTGCGGCTTTCGAAACAAATGTGATCGAGTCTGGGTCTTGTTCATCATCTTCAAACTGTCTTCCACGAGTACTACTGATAGAAGCCCCGAAGGAAGTGTCAGGAGGTTGAAACCAAGGTGTAAATTCTTTCTAGGGATGCGCTTACGGCAACGCTGCCAAGCGACGCGTCCGCGTCCGTCGCTGCCGCTCTCGAGTACACGTAACCCCAGCTGCGGTACAGCGTTGGCACTCGATTCTTCTGTTGCACTTAATCTAGAGAGGGTACCGAGTGGTATTAGGATTTGTATTTGCAGTTGAAGATCATTGGGTTAAGGCAAAGACCAACGGTACCTTTCTCGCGTGACAAAAATCGCACTCCTTGGATGTAAGCATAATCTTCCCTGGCGGAGCATGATTTGACGAACTTACAGCTTGGGCTTTTCCGTCTACACCGACGGTATTATGCTTAAAAATCAAATTATGAGACATATTCCGACATTTGGGAGTTGGGAGTTGGGAGTTTGGTGTTAAATCTTTCTGTCACGATTTGAACGCCAATTGCGATCCTAAGTTAACTGACAGAAATAGACGGATACGACAATGTATGGTAAATCTGACATATGTAAATTCTCTAACTAACTAAAATGACAAGATCCGCTCTTTTCCAATCTCGGCGGACATAGCTGATTAAGCAATGTATGTATTTTTGTATGGTACCGTTATCATGACGGTCCATTGATTTCCCGGTTTGTAAAGACCTGGTAATTTCAGCATGCATAAATGCATAGTACTTGACATTAACTAACGTATTCGGTAAGCGAGTGGGCCATGTAAGCCAGTGGGCCACCCGACCCAACCTACCAATTTTAAATACAAATATGTCAACCAAAACGCCATTAAATTAAATACAGTAAAATCATCTATCTAGCTAGGCATCTATTAATCTTATGTCCTATTTCACCACAACCACTACACTTTGGCGGGGCCCGTGTACGTGGTTGTAAAGCCGGCGAAGGGCTTCTTCGTAGAGGGGAGGGAGGTGCTTTAATTGCTTCCACCGGCTCAGTATCCAATTGAGAAGCTTCCTGTACTGTAAGGCCTGCTTAGTCTATCGCACAACCCGGGTTTGGGTCGAGATATCGGACCCGGACCCGGACCCAGCCTGGGTCCGGGTTAGACTGCGACAACGCCCGTTTTTGTGGAGACATTTTTAGCGTCGCCAAGACATATGCGGGCACTCTTGGCACGGTGGGTACTGCCAAGAACTAGTTATGTACATAAAATCGCCGAATAGGGTAATTTTTGCATTATTTTTGCATAAGGATGGGCGATGGGCGTCGAATTTCAAAAGGCCCACGGGCCGTGGACACTTTCTAGTGCCCATGGACGGGCGATGTCGCAGTCTAGTCCGGGTCGAAGTCAGCGAACCCGGACCCAACCCGGACCCAGCGCTGGGCCCCCAATGGGGCCCCAGTAAAACCCAACTTTGCATAAAAACAAACTCTTGGCGTTCATAAAGTTGCTAAATAATCAACATGTAATCTTCGTATTTTTTTGTGTTTTAGATCGAACCCATATGAACTCACTTATTCGACATCAACTTTATATGACTAAACTAAATAGACACTTATATCATTTTATATTGGCCAGATATTAGTTTATTACCAATAAAAATTAAAGATAATCATGGTTGTAGTGGTATTTGATAATTTAGGTTTGCTGACATGGTTGAAGTTGTAGAAATATATTTTGAATACAGTGTAAAGTAGTCACTCTATCCTTACACGTTGAGATCTCCTTTCGACTACTACTATCTCTGACCGCGGTCAGAAAATTAATTATACGATTAAAGCCTTATTCTACTATACTTTCTAACCGCGGTCAGAAACTCTAGCTGAGGGGATCTTACAGTGAGCGCGGGTAGAGCCCGAGTACTAATACTCCTAGTTTCTGACCGCGGTTAGAAACTCTGGCTGAGGGGATCTAGCAGTAAGCGCGGGTAGAGCCTGAGCCTTAGTACCGGCATTAGCCCGTTATAATTGCTGGGTTTTGCTGGGTTTTGCTGGGTTTTGCTGGGTTTTGCTGGGTTTTGCTGGGTTTTGCTGGGTTTTGCTGGGTTTTGCTGGGTTTGGCTGGGTTTGGCTGGGTTTGGCTGGGTTTTGGCTGGGTTTTGCTGGGTTATGCTGGCTCTAACCCACTTAAACCTATAATATATACCAATTAAATGCTAGTGAAGTAGGTACTTTTGATAAACGACGACTTGATCGTTCAGCTCTCTATTCACAGCTAGGGTAATACGTCTTCTGCCCTTTGTAAGTAAATCCCTTCTCTTATTCTTCCCCTCGTAATTGATCATTTATTTATTTCGCCTATTATGTCCCAGAGCCAGCAATCTAATTTGACATCCTCGATTTATGATGGAGATATAGACAATCTTGGTTATCTTACCCCTTCAAACCGACTTGGTACCCCTGAACCATCCACTAGCCAGCAGACGTTCGATCTCGACTCTATTGACTCCGAATTCCTTCGTCCGATTATTCCCCTTATACCTCCTACCTCACTTCTACGTGTTGGTCCCGATCGGAGAAAGGCATTTGTTCTTTATGACAAAATGACTCATACCGAATGGGTCGACTGGTGGTTACAGACTGATTTTGGAAGGAAGAGCAAGATCCATTGGGACTCAAACCACCAGTCTGATGTTTGGGGTAGGTTTAACCAGGTTGCAAATAGTATCGATGGGGCACCAAAGGTTATGTGTAAGAATTGCGGCCAGATTCTTGAGCATCCTTACACTATCCATCCTCATCCAACGGGCGACCGGAAAGCACAATATCATGGCACATCAACAATGTCAAAACATATCAAGAGCGCAGGGTGTCGAAAGGCTAAGGGTGGATCAAAGCTAGAGATCACAAGATTCCTCAGCAAAGCTGTATGTTCTATTATAACTTAATCTTTTATTCTCCTTACTAAATTTTTTTAGGATGATACTCCGACCGAGGCTCCTTTCTCACAAGAGGCCTGGGAGGAAGAGATTTTATCCTTCTTATCTCTTAATCGACTCCCATTTCAACTTATCGAGCACCCAACGTTTCAGAGCCTAATTCAAATGGCTCGCACCTCTCTATCCACCCCGTTTATCCCCTCTGCTGATACAATTCGTCGTCGGCTATCAAGCACAGTTAAGAGTCGGCAACAGAGTGTGCTTCAGATGCTTCCATCTCACTCAAAGATATCTATTGCCCTTGATTGCTGGACCTCTCCCTTCTCACAGGCGTTTATAGCAATCACTGGCTATTTCATTGATAGCGACTGGGTATATCGAGAGGTGCTACTAGACTTCAAGCCTATTTATGGGGCGCATACTGGTGCAAACCTAAGTAGTGCGCTGATAGAGACCCTCACAGAACATGGAATCGAAGATAGGGTGTTTGGGCTGACAACAGACAATGCATCAAACAACAAAACTCTTATGGAATCCCTTCAACAGGTTTTACCGGATGGTGTTATTGTTATTCGAATTCCTTGTCTTGCCCATGTTATCCAACTTAGCCTGAACCAGCTTCTTGGACACATCAAGGCAGTTCCAGAAAATGAGACTACAGAGACAAAGTGGACTGATCAACAGTCTAAAATGGCCCAGCAGAATGCACAACAACAGCAGCGAGGGATTTCTTCTACGCTGAATAAGATTCGTTACCTTGCAATATATGTGAACGCTAGTCCCCAGCGCCGGGAGAGTTTTTACAATCTCCAGCCCCAAAAAGTCAAGATTGCCCCAATCCAAGATGTGAAGACCCGGTGGAATTCAACATTCCTAATGCTTCGCCGCGCGAAGAGACTACGGTCTGTTTTTGGCCCTTTTTGTGAAGAGTATGCTCGTCTTGATCTGCTACCAGATACCGAAGAGTGGCGTCAAATTGACTATCTTCTTTGTATCACGGAGCCATTCTTTGATTATACTCTACAACTCTCAAAGACTCGGGATATTACTGCACATTATACTTTTAAGATATACAACCGGCTTTTTGAGCATCTTGAACAGTCAATGAAGCAGCTCAGACGGAAGCGTGTTCTATGGAAGAAACAGATGCTTGATGCGCTCGAAGCTAGTCGACTAAAGCTTGACGAATATTACTCTCAGACTGATCATATCCGAGGGTATATCTTTGCGATATGTACCATGCTTGCGCCTGTGAATAAGTTTCAATTCTTTCAAACTGATGACTGGGATCAAGAGTGGCGCGATAAATATCGCCAGGCATTCCAAAAAGCTCTCGTACCATATCAAGATCGGCTTTCTCATATACAAGACTCGCAACCTTCTTATAATCAACCTCGACCAAGTTCGAAGCTTGATAAGATGTTGAATAGTAATAGAAGACAGCTGTCGGGAGTCACAGATGAGATAACACAATATCTCGATAGTGGTATGTTAAACCTAAATAATATTAATATTTTACTAACTAGTTAATAGATACGATTGAAATTGCGCCTCTTGGTTTCTGGAGAGAGAATCAACACCGCTTTCCAGCTATTGCAGCTCTTGCAAGGGATATTCTCTCAATACCAGCAACAGGCGCTGGTGTTGAACGACTATTTAATACCGCTCGAGATATCTGTCATTACCGCCGGGGAAGAATGAAGTCCGAAACAATCCAAGAGCTTATGATGTTCCTTTGTACTTCAAGATTCGATCTTGAGGAGCAAGAGGCTAAGCGACTTGAAGAGTTTTTTACACAAGACGAAATTGAAGTGGCGAAGGAAGAGAAGGATGAGAGACCCGATGGGGTTGAAGTAGACCCAATTAGTGATACTGAAGAGCTAGATAAAGGGGATAAGGAGAATAAGGCGATAGAGGATATTGAAGATGATATGATTGAGCCTAAGCTACCGGATAATGGTACGCAGCTCCGATTATCAGGACGGAAGCGTAAACAGCGAGATGATGATAATTTCCAGTATCACTAGTTAGCTAAAATATTATCTTCCTACCCTAAATCTACATACTCTTGATATAGATAAGATGCAAGAGAAATACCCAAAATTACAATAAGAGATTGTATAAATTATGCAGTGAGGATTCCTTGGTATATTTGTCTTATTTGTAACCCAATTGGGGCCCCAGTATGGGTCCGGGTTGAGGGTAGTAACCCAGAACCCAGCGCTGGGTTGAGATTTTGGACCCGGACCCAACCCAAACCCGGGTTGGGTCCGGGTTGGGTCCGGGTCCGGTTGGGTTCTGCGGAAGCCTAGGTTGGACATAGCAGTGGCCCGATCCACGCTGAAATTCATCTGCCCCCAGGTAAGACAGAAAATCCAGCCAAGATCAAGACCGCCTGACTAATAGCCGCGTCTCCTTTAGAGCGTCCAGAAACTCCGCCGAACCCTTTATCAACCGTCCCATTCGCACGCGATCCAGATTTCGTCTGCCGTAGGACCCTGCTTGAGTCGATTCACGAGAAAACCTCGATCTTAGGGTCGAGAATAGCCCTGGTCGGCCTGGGTGGTGTTGGGTGAGTGTGAAGCGACTAATTCCTGGCCCGCAGCTCACAAGTGAAAGGAAAACGCAACTTGCCATCGAATACACGTATCAGATCCGATCAGAGTCACCAGACACATGGGTTATCTGGGTCCACGCAAGCAATGAGGCCCGGTTCGAGCAAAGTTTCCGGGACATCGCAGACCAGCTAAAGATCCCTAGTCGTCAGGATCCCAAATCCAACATATTTAAACTGGTCGAAAACTGGCTGCGGGATGAGAACAAGGGGAAATGGATTTGTATCCTTGATAATGCGGATGATGACAAGTTCCTTTGTTCGCTTCCGGTGGCAGAAAAGGGAGCTTCAATGAAAGAGCCACCAAACGCCTCAACAAAACCTCTTTTAGAATACATTCCCAGATGTCGGAATGGATCTATAATCATCACAAGTCGAAGCAGAGAGGCTGCGCTCAGGATGGTCAAGCATAAGGACCTTATTGACGTTAACCCGATGGCAAGGTCTGAGGCACTAGAGCTTCTTCAGAAGACGCTTGATCAACCCGAAGAAAGCCAAGAGAGCCAACAGTTAGTGGAAGAACTCGAGTTTATGCCGCTTGCAATAGCCCAGGCCGCATGCTATATTCGAAATCGGGCGCCTCGCTATTCAGTATCACAATACCTGAGAGACTTTCAGAAGAGCGATAGCGAAGCGATAAAGCTTCTCAAAAAAGAGGCGGGTCACCTTGACCGGGATTGGGAAGCAAAGAACTCAATTCTAGTGACTTGGCAAATATCATTTAACTACATTCGCCACGAAAAGCCATCTGCAGCGGAACTACTTTCTCTTATGAGCTTTTTCGATCGACAAGGGATACCGGAGAGTGTTATCCGCCAGCCACCGGCTAGCTGCACCTCAAGGACAGAACTCTTCGACAACTCTAGTGACGGGGAAACATCTGAATCCGACGGAGGTCTGGAATTTGAAGATGATGTTACAACTTTACGGAATTACTCATTTATATCTATTAGCGAGAATGGGACTTCCTTTGCTATGCATCGACTAGTGCAACTGACTACGCGCGCATGGCTGAAATCTCATGGAGAAACAGAACGGTGGAGGGAAAAATTTATCGCTAATGTGTACGGAGAGTACCCTACAGGTCGATATGAAAATTGGGGGAAGTGCCAGTCTCTCTATCCTCACGTTCGGTCAGCGATGTCTCAACGACCAGAATCACGAGAGTCTCTCTTGAGATGGGCCACGCTACTTTATAGAGGCGCATGGTATGCGTCAGAAAGCGGCCATATTGCGGATGTAAGGGAAATGGCATCGAAATCGCAAAAGCATAGAGTCGAACTGCTAGGTGCGGAGAATGACGAGGCCCTTGCGAGTACTGCGATGTTGGCTGAAGCCTATTCACTAGAGGGCCGATGGGAGGAGGCGGAACAGCTCGAGGTGCAGGTCATGGAGACTCGCAAGACGAAGCTCGGCGTGGACCATCCTGACACGCTGACGAGTATAGCTAACCTAGCATCGACGTATTGGAACCAGGGCCGATGGGAGGAGGCGGAACAGCTCTTCGTGCAGGTCATGGAGACGAGCAAGACGAAGCTCGGCGTGGACCATCCTTCTACGCTGACGAGTATGGCCAACCTGGCATCGACGTATAGGAACCAGGGCCGATGGGAGGAGGCGGAACAGCTCTTCGTGCAGGTCATGGAGACGAGCAAGACGAAGCTCGGCGTGGACCATCCTGACACGCTGACGAGTATGACCAACCTGGCATCGACGTATAGGAACCAGGGCCGATGGGAGGAGGCGAAACAGCTCGAGGTGCAGGTCATGGAGACGAGCAAGACGAAGCTCGGCGTGGACCATCCTTCTACGCTAAGGAGTATGGCCAACCTGGCATCGACGTATTGGAACCAGGGCCGATGGGAGGAGGCGGAACAGCTCTTCGTGCAGGTCATGGAGACTCGCAAGACGAAGCTCGGCGTGGACCATCCTTCTACGCTAAGGAGTATGGCCAACCTGGCATCGACGTATTGGAAACAAGGCCGATCGGAGGAGGCGGAACAGCTCGATGTGCAGGTCATGGAGACGAGTAAGACGAAGCTTGGCGTGGACCATCCTGACACGCTGACGAGTATAGCCAACCTGGCATCGACGTATAGGAACCAGGGCCGATGGGAGGAGGCGAAACAGCTCGAGGTGCAGGTCATGGAGACTCGCAAGACGAAGCTCGGCGTGGACCATCCTGACACGCTGACGAGTATGTCCAATCTTGCTTTCACCTGGAAATCTTTAGGGTATAATACCCAAGCTCTCGAGTTACTACGAGATTGCCTGGCCAGGCAGAAGCAAATACTTGGGAGCAATCATCACCATACCATATCCAGTTCTCAAACCTTGCTGGAGTGGGAAACAGAGATGTTGGATATTGGTAATAAATGAGCAAGGTACTTAAATAAACTATTTTTCCGTCAGAATGGAGCTAGCGTAGTGGTGCAATAAAATAATTTTGGAATCATAATAGACTTCATATAGGGTGCGCGAAAGAGCTTGCCGGTATGATCCTGGCTAGCAGACTCTGGTGGCATATTCATGTTTAGAGTATTTCGATAAATTGCAATTACCCACAGACAGCCAGCACATGCTCGTAAGAATCGACGGTATACCGTATACTGCGGACAATCTACTCGAGAGAGTCTTCATTCTTTATCTAAACATATCACGATTTTCTAATTAGGCCTCAGGAAAACCCGTTCTGAGTCAACCGGTGAAATGGATCTCGAATCCGCTGTAGCCATGCTACATCTCCTCTATAGTCACGCCAGCATGCCGGAAATGGCCCTCTGCGCTTTTCACACACCAGTCGAGGAAGGTATCAAATCCTTGGTCAGGATTACCTTCATAGGACTGCCAATTTCGCCCAATGAAGGCTTTCAACTCAGCAAAGAACTCCTCAATAGGATTCAAGTCCGGTGAATATGGAGGCAAGTACACCAACTTTACCCCGGCTTCCGAGCACATCACAGACTTCGGCTCTGGCCACTTCCCACAATGCTGCAGAAGCTGCTCAATAAAATCCTCAAAGACGACGGCATCGGTTGAGCCCTGGAACACTCGAGACATAACAATACCATCTTGGGCATAGGCGGGTAGTACAGTGACTACGCAAAAGTTTCAGCACCCCCTAGAGACCCACTCTTAGACCGCCTAATCTATCCACCTACCGCCTACCTAAATCGCGTATACAGAAATACGCCAAGGACCGCGTAACGCGATTCTATTGCAAAATATCCTTTCTACTACCATTCAATCTCTCTCAAATTCCTTTGCAATCTCTATCTCTACGATTTCTTTGATATGGCTCCTTCTTCAGAGCTTACACCTGCGCTTAGAGAGCGTATATGCGAACTAGACTGCGACATCGCCCATGGACGGGCGGGTGGGCAGTGCCCACGGGCCTTATGTAAGCGGGCGATGGGCACTATCCATACGCCCATGGACGGGCCCTACCCTTAGGGCCCATTGTCCATGGACACCGTGGGCGCCCATGGGCCTTTTTAGTAAGCAGAATTTCTTGACCTCGTGACCTGCATTATTTGTGCATTTTTTTCTCTGTATTTTTGAGTAATTCGATTACATGTACAATGACTTGATACTACTGTCAATTTTCTGACCGAGGTCAGAAATGAGCTTTAGAAGCCTTTATACAACAACTTGACACATTGTCACTTTTTTGACCGGGGTCAGAAATAAGCCTTGGAAGCCTTTGCATAATGACTTAGGCATTCATTATATTCATATATTTACACTAATACGATACAAATTGATCATTATTAGGTTTGCCACGCTTCCTTGCTTCTCTTAAACCAGGGCGCTTTTGAGTGCTACCCTTATCTCCATAATGAGGGAGATGAGGACTGCTCTTATCTTCGCTGTCGACTAGCTCACTTCTCTGTCGCTTCCGCGTACTTAGCACTATAGAAGGACGAGGAAGCTGACTCTCCATCATAAACTCATACTCGATCAGTCCAACAGGATCATTATCCTCGGAATCCTCACTATCGCTGATTGGTTCAGGCATGTCAGTGGTAAGCTTAGCCTCTCTCTGTTCGTCTGCTTCTTGCATTGAATCCAAGGACGTATCCTCATCGGGTAGTTCTTCTATTTCAATGTCGAACTGGGTTTTATACCGGAACATTATGATATCCTGGACTGTCTTCGTACTCAGCCGCCCACGTCGGTAGTGGCAGACATCCCGTGCTAAATTGAAAAGACGTTCAACTCTAGCGCCTGTTGCAGGAATAGAGAGAATGTCGCGAGCAACACTGGAAAGAATTGGGAATTCATTACCTGGTCGAAGTTCTCCCAGACATCTAATATGTGTTTTGCATCCTATCGTAGCCTTTGTTGTGTCTCAGTACTGCTGCCGCGTACTGTGGTACGCCACCACTCGATAAACTTTACTTTGGACGCGTTGTTCATCGCGTCGTAGAGGATAAACTGCTTTCTCCGATCGGGGCCGACGCGTTTGAGAGAGCAATCAAGAATAGCCGGTTGAGTGAACTCGGACTCTATCAGTGAGATAGAAGTCTGTTGGCTGTTGAAGAGACTGGGATCAATATTTGGATTAAGGTTAGGATCAAATATATCGGCGACGTAGGAGAGGTCTGGTTGGGAGCTCGGAGGAAGTGAAGAAGGCCCTGCGGTATAGGCACTAGGTTGGGACATGGTTAATGTGATGTAAGGGATAATATAACGACTATAGGAGAGTGAGTGATCTGAACTTACAATAGGTAACTTGCGACCGTGTGAAACGAGGATTACTAGTAAAAGGGGTGCTTTGTATAGATCTGATAGATCGTAAATTGAGTGTAGACCCACTATATATTATAAGCTGATTGGCTATAAGTGTCTTTGTCCATGGGCATGCCCGTGGGCACGCCCGTGGGCACGCCCATGGGAACATACCTAAACGCCCATCTTGAGTTACAATCGAAGGATTTAAAACTCCCAGAATAATAACACAAGTCTTTGAGTGATATAATTGACAGAATTTAGTGATATAAGCTTATAAAATAAGAATTATACTAATTATCTTTCGATCTACCTATGAGAAATATACTAGAGTGAGAGATAAAGTAGAATCCATAAGTAGTATTTTACTTATAGAAAATGCCAGGCATGTACCACTGACTTAAATATATATCTTCAAGCTGTTACAGTATGATTTGATAAGTTAATAAAAATACCACACAATATGATGTATTTCGATTAAAATTTTATTCCAATTCGTATCATATATATACTAGTTTCTCATATACATAGATATTTCAGTAAAATTTATAGATGTTGTAGATTAAAACTGCCATTTTACATGGAGTTGGCAAAACAGGTGTAAATAACAGTTATTTATTATGCAAAGTCAGCGAGTTATACGTCCATTTTGGGTGACTTTATGCAATGGTGGGCATCGTGGGCATGCCCGCCGTGGGCATGCCCGTGGGCCTTGGGCGTTATGGACGGGCACTCGAAAATCCAAATAGCCCAAGGCCCACCGTGGACGGGCCTTGGGCACCTCCTAGGTGCCCATGGACGGGCGATGTCGCAGTCTAAGCAAAAGCAAAAGCGAGGCAAATCCCGGAGTCAGATACAGGTAGAAGCAGGCCTTACAGTACAGGAAGCTTCTCAATTGGATACTGAGCCGGTGGAAGCAATTAAAGCACCTCCCTCCCCTCTACGAAGAAGCCCTTCGCCGGCTTTACAACCACGTACACGGGCCCCGCCAAAGTGTAGTGGTTGTGGTGAAATAGGACATAAGATTAATAGATGCCTAGCTAGATAGATGATTTTACTGTATTTAATTTAATGGCGTTTTGGTTGACATATTTGTATTTAAAATTGGTAGGTTGGGTCGGGTGGCCCACTGGCTTACATGGCCCACTCGCTTACCGAATACGTTAGTTAACTTAGGATCGCAATTGGCGTTCAAATCGTGACAGAAAGATTTAACACCAAACTCCCAACTCCCAACTCCCAAATGTCGGAATATGTCTCATAATTTGATTTTTAAGCATAATACCGTCGGTGTAGACGGAAAAGCCCAAGCTGTAAGTTCGTCAAATCATGCTCCGCCAGGGAAGATTATGCTTACATCCAAGGAGTGCGATTTTTGTCACGCGAGAAAGGTACCGTTGGTCTTTGCCTTAACCCAATGATCTTCAACTGCAAATACAAATCCTAATACCACTCGGTACCCTCTCTAGATTAAGTGCAACAGAAGAATCGAGTGCCAACGCTGTACCGCAGCTGGGGTTACGTGTACTCGAGAGCGGCAGCGACGGACGCGGACGCGTCGCTTGGCAGCGTTGCCGTAAGCGCATCCCTAGAAAGAATTTACACCTTGGTTTCAACCTCCTGACACTTCCTTCGGGGCTTCTATCAGTAGTACTCGTGGAAGACAGTTTGAAGATGATGAACAAGACCCAGACTCGATCACATTTGTTTCGAAAGCCGCAGATACTTACCAACCTTTCACGGACCATGGTGCGGTGGTCAGCGCCCTTAAACAATCAAATAATACAAGCAGTTTGATTATAGATGAGATTAACACTAACACCCATTTGTCTGTGGCCCGGACGGGCGTTTTACGGTCGGCACTGGACATCGTCAAAAGGTTCATATCATCATCACAGCATGCGGACAGCATACCAGATGAAAAGATTACTCCCGATCCTGCATCAAAACTTATTGATTTTCGAATCGAACTTTTCTATATGATGATGGGCGGTATGTTTTTTTATCCTTATTGGGCATTGCACCTCATTCTAAATACTGCAGGTCAAAATGAACGCGACGCCCTAGCTCTCCACTGGCCGGATCACATTTCACCCCTAACTCTGCAGCGAATGTGTTTAGCCTTGATGAGTGGTACTGTTGGTCGGCAAACAGATCTTCAATACAAGCTTTGTGTACTTTACAAGGCTACCATCTTCGTCAGTCGGTGGCTGCGATTTTCCTCGCCGGGGGGATTATCAGACTGTTTAGCCAAATCTAGAAAGCAGTATACTGCAGCTTTCCTTGAATCTCTCAGTATGATTGACTTCTCGAGGTCTCCCAGCCTTGCAATGCTACAAGCGCTTCTTTCTGGTGTCGGTGATCCTCAGTCCCTATGCAGATATGTCGTTAACTTATATCAGGCCACACTAGTACAGCTTCTTGGAGACACGACAAGATCTTGGCACCTGACTGCTCTAGCCTCCCGTGTTGTGGTAGCTTTGGGTTATCATACCTCGACTTCGATCGGCTGTGATGCTGACGAAGAAATCGAAATTCGTCGCTGCTTGTCTTGGTGCTACTATATGGACAAGACACTAAGCATGCTTCTAGTCCGTCCTACATCTTTACCCGTCCTTGCGTCCGACCCGGTAGATCTTCTCAACACGGTTTCTGAAAATCCATTATCATACAAAGTCAGGATATTGGTGAAACTCGCTCAAGTTCAGGATATCTCGTTATCTCTCATGTTAAAAGGTCAAAAAGAAGAGCTCGCAATGGCTCAGGAGCCTGCTTTGCTTGAAGACCTTCAAAATAGACTAAAGTCTATCAGTGAGGAGATTCGGCAGGTGGGAGTTCTTGTCAAATTCCCAACTCCAAATTACTGACATGAATCTCAGTCCCGTCAGAAATTTGCTGAACAGCCCGCTGCTATGATTGAATGGGATGCCATTGACTTCACTTTCTTTTCGATCGCAACGAGTGTCCTTCGCCTTAAATCATTAGCCGTGCAAAACAATAGTAGACGCCAAGAGTGCTTGCGGTACGCACGGAGAGCACTTTTCTCAATGCAGGCATGCCAGAAGCATATCTCTGTTCTACCTAATCTAACAACAGACTTCCTCTTCTGGTATGGTACCTTTATCCAAAAAGTACGATGGTTCTGACGTTCAACAGGACCGCATTACTATATCCTCTGACTCCATTATTTGTGGTTTTTTGTAACGTCGTCGCTACTTCGGATATAGAGGATTTGGAGCTGTTGAAAGATGTCACCTCCACAATATCAAGAATTAAAGATCAATGCACCTTTGGCTCGAATCTTTACAGACTTCTATCCGAATTGATCAAACTCTGTTCCAATCTGCATGATATTCAGCCTAGTCAACCGCCTCATAATCATCATGTTCAAAGTCAAGGATCACCGACTGGTGTTTCATCGATTGTTGGGAAAATCAACAGGACTATCGAAAGTGAAGTCGCCATGTTGAATTTTACGGAGGGTGATGCCAATTCAAGATGGCATGTGCAACAACGAACCCAGCAATCAGATTGTCATCGATCTTGTGAAGGGCCAAAACGTTCTTCAATTTGGGATGAGGGTCTTATGCGGGAGCTCTTCAATACTCACCCGTCCGTTGAGTGGCTTGATTACCACAGTTCTGACTTTCAAGAAACTACGCACCCATGAAGCAAGTGAACCGAAATGTGAATTTTATACCTCTATATATTGAGTTGAATGTAAATTGAGTTTAGCATTTTCGTTCTCAGATACAAAATTTTAGATGCTAGAGCAAGGCTGTTCGTTCAGATTACCAAGTCTATTAGCGGGATAGTCCCTTCTAATTACTTAACCCTTCTTGATACTTCAGTTGGCTCACAATGACAGGATCCACCCCAATCGTTTGCATGTTTTTTTAAGGCAAACAAATTAGTGAACGGCAAAAGCTAGGGAATCTTCTGGGGAAGCATTTGGAATATGACGCGACGTCTTCACCTACAGTGATAATAAACAGCAGTAACTGAGCAATGACTTGAAGAAGTCTTTATTTATATTCACAGCACCCATAAAAGTGTTTAAAACCTGGGCAATGAAGCTTATGACGGGAGCTCGAAATGAACTCTAAAAAAATGTGATCCGCTTGTAAGAAGTCACTCCACCCAACCCAATACAGCTATTCTATCTCAAAAATGCCTTACATGTCTATTTTTAGTTCCGTGCAAAGCCCTCTAGAGCACGAGTAGAAAAAAAGTATCGGGGACTAGATTATCGTGGACTAACAAAGACGTGTATTAGTAAGATCGTCACTTATTGCTAGTTAGTTATAAACTTTTTCTCTAGAGTAGTACGATAGCTTTCTTGTATCTTTAGTTAACAAAAAACTATCGGAGACGAAGGAGGTATACGGTACTGTTTTACTGCAGCACTGTCTATCAGGAAGATCCTATAACGTAATTCACGGCCGAGCCGCGCACCCCAAAACACATAGTAAATGCGATAAATTACCAATTTATATATCAAGAACCATATCTATTGATGATAGGATATTAAAATCTTATGATCTAGATAGTATTTCTAACTTACTAGAGAAGTATAGGACAATTAGTTGAAGCATTGATTCAGATATATGTATTTGTCCCATATACCAAAACTACGCCGTATCTTATGGTAACCCATCGGGAATGATTATTGAAATTGCTTAAGACTAAGATATGTTATTTCACACGCTAAGAAAGTCATATATCCTAGTATTTAAGTAAAAATAAAATATGGTTGTTCAGATATGAAATGGTAATTTATCGAATTTACTTTGTGTTTTGGGGTGCGCGGCTCGGCCGTGAATTACGTTATTTTCCGGAGCTTGGCCCATATCATTAATCGGGTCAATCCGAACTAATCATTCGCATCCGGTAACTTCCCAAAAGGTACATCCTCCCGAAATTCCGCATCTCGGACTTTCGGGCTTTGGATATATGAAGATCGTTTTTTCCGGGTCTGTACTCTAACCGGGCTCTCGGCCTTCTTTCTTTGCCTTTCGCTGTGATATTTCTACGTCGAACATTAGGCCGGCCCAAAATTCCCTTTGGAGATTACGAGCGAACCGGAAATCAAAGACATTTTTCAATCTGTTAGTCCCATATAGACGAACATACAAATGCTTTGGACACTCTATTTTCACGGCCCCTTTTAATAATTCATCACTATCTTGCAATTGCCTTCCAATTTCCCATTCCAATAACAGATTTCTCAATTTCGTGTCTCGCTATGGAAGAATCAGAGACCCCAACACCGGCTGGATCCCTTCCACCCTCGCTGAATGAGAAATGGACGGAAAAGGAAGACCGATGGCATCTTATCGACAAACTGGAGGAGTTCAACCAACGGGATCTTGCTTCCGGATTCAAACCTCGGCAACTTGGTGTCACCTGGAAAAATCTCACGGTCAAAGGAACTAGTGCCGAAGCTGCAATCAATGAAAACTTCGTTTCGCAGTTCGACCTTCGCCGGCACCTTTCCCGTTTCCGACGCAGGAATTCTCTACAAACAATCTTGGACCAAAGCCATGGCTGCGTTAAGCCTGGTGAGATGCTGCTTGTTTTGGGCAGACCTGGGTCAGGTTGTACCACGTTGCTCAAGATGCTCTCCAACAGGCGAGCAGGCTACCAGAAAATTGATGGGGACGTTCGATTTGGAGATATGTCGCACGAAGAAGCAGAGAAATATCGTGGCCAAATCGTCATGAACACCGAAGATGAAACGTTTTTCCCTACCCTCACTGTCGGCGAGACGACCATATTTGCGACTAGCGGAAAGATCCCAGCCCATCTCCCCGAAGGTTGCAAATCAAGACACGAGTACCAAAATGAGCTGAGCGATTTCCTACTTCGCTCGCTTGGAATATCCCACACCGCAACTACCAAAGTTGGAAACGAGTATGTTCGTGGTGTATCGGGAGGTGAGAGGAAGCGTGTTTCTATCCTAGAGTGCCTTGCTGCCCGAGGATCGATTTACTGCTGGGATAACAGTACCAGAGGCCTTGACGCCAGTAGTGCGCTGGACTGGGCAAAAGCCATTCGAGCAATGACAGATGTCTACTCCCTGTCTTCCATCGTGACGCTTTATCAAGCTGGAAACCAGATCTACGACCTTTTTGACAAAGTCCTCGTTCTGGACGAAGGAAAGCAGATATACTACGGCCCAATGAGTCAGGCTCGTGGTTTCATGGAAGACCTTGGATTTGTGTGCGAGGATGGCGCCAACGTCGCTGACTTCCTAACCGGAGTTACAGTGCCGACTGAGCGCCAGATTCGCTCAGGCTTCGAAGCCAGCTTCCCGCGCGACGCAGAATCTATCCGCTCTTCATACGAAAACACAGATATTTTCAAAAACGCCGTTGCCCATTATTCATACCCCAACTCAGAGCTTGCTAGTCGGCGAACGTCAGACTTCAAGGAAAGCGTCGCTCTCGAAAGAGCATCCAAACGCAGCCAATACACCGTCGACTTTGTCTCTCAAGTGAAGGCATGTATTATTCGTCAATACCAGATCATCGCTGGGGATATGGTTACTTTTGGAATGAAACAAGGCTCGAACATCGCCCAAGCTTTGATAGCTGGTTCTCTATACTACCAAGCAGCCGACGACTCCTCCGGGGTGTTTATCAAAGGGGGCGTGCTGTTCTGGTCTGTGCTATACAACAGCATGACCGCAATGTCTGAGGTTGTGGACTCTTTCACAGGCCGACCTGTCATCCTGAAGCACAAATCTTTGGCCTACGTTCATCCAGCAGCCATCTGCATCGCCCAAATTGCCGCAGATATCCCTATCATTATTCTTCAAGTTACTACATGGTCCCTCATCATCTATTTCATGGCTGGCCTGGTCCTTGATGCATCGAATTTCTTCACATACTGGACTATTTTGTTCGTTACCAACATGTGTGCCTGTGGGCTGTTCCGTGCAATTGGCGCTGTTTTCGGTTCATTCAACACCGCTGCCCAGCTCTCCGGATATGCGATCGCTATCATGGCTATGTATGCTGGATATCAAATCCATACAACGCAGATGCATCCGTGGTTTGGCTGGCTATATTGGCTCAATCCATTGTCATACGGATTTGAGGCATTGATGGGAAACGAGTTTCATCTTCATGCGATCAAATGTGTGAACACCAATCTGATTCCCAATGGCCCTGGTTATAGCCAGGACGAGCATGCCTCGTGTGCTGGCATCGGGGGTGCACAGCCAGGAGCTCTCTCTTTGACAGGCGATGAATATCTTGCGTCTTTGATGTATAGCCACACTCACATTTGGAGAAATTTCGGAATACTGTGTGCGTGGTGGGTTGTGTACGTCGGAATCACACTAATTGGAGTCATTCGCTGGCATGATGCTTCTGAGTCGGGAGCTTCGCTGCTCATTCCTCGCGAAAGATTAGCTTCTCACCAGCGGCTTTCTCCCGTTGACGAAGAGTCCCAGTGTACGGAGAGAAGGAAGGTTAAGCATTCGTCCAATCCGAACGAGTCACTCCAACAGCCTGCCCCCGCTGAACAGGAAATACTACAAAATACTTCAATTTTCACGTGGAAAGCTCTGACATATACTGTTAAGACATCCTCAGGCCCTCGAGTGCTCCTCGATAATGTTTATGGCTGGGTTAAGCCCGGAACCCTCACTGCACTCATGGGCTCGTCAGGAGCAGGAAAAACAACCCTTTTGGATGTTCTCGCGCAGAGAAAAACCGAAGGAACAATCAAAGGATCAATTCTGGTCGATGGCCATCCCCTCCCCATATCCTTTCAACGCTCGGCCGCCTACACGGAACAGCTCGATGTCCACGAGCCCTATGCCACAGTGAGGGAGGCATTGCAGTTCTCTGCTCTTCTTCGTCAATCCCGAGATATCCCTGAGGTTGAAAAGCTCAGATATGTCGATGTCATCATTGATTTACTGGAGCTTCACGACATCGCCGACTCCCTGATTGGAAAGCCTGGCGCAGGGCACGGCTTGAGTATTGAACAACGGAAGCGCTTGACTATTGGAGTGGAATTGGTCTCGAAGCCTAGAATTCTTATCTTCTTGGACGAACCTACCTCAGGTCTGGATGGCCAGTCAGCATTCAACACCGTCCGCTTTTTGAGAAAGCTTGCTGACGCGGGCCAATCT